AGCTGTCCAAACGAAATCAGAAACACTGACACAAACTTGTTTGTTTTTTAAAAAAAATATAAATGCATGTCTTTAACATTTATATTTATCACAGACAAGAGAGTCAAGTACAGTACATAGGGCAGTGTTTCTCAACCTTGGGGACTTTAAGTCCTGTGGACTTCAACTCCCAGAATCCCCCAGCCAGCACAGCTGGCTGGGGAATTCTGGGAGTTGAAGTCCACAAGACTTAAAGTCCCCAAGGTTGAGAAACACTGCCCTATGTACTGTACTTGACTCTCTTGTCTGTGATAAATATAAATGTTAAAGACATGCATTTATATTTTTTTTAAAAAACAAACAAGTTTGTGTCAGTGTTTCTGATTTCGTTTGGACAGCTGCCACGCAATTCCTTGACACAAAGCATAGTTCTGACAGGGGGCCCTCAGGTTTCCACAGAGAAGAGTCCAAAATAGTCAACATGGCCGCCGCAACCGTCCTTACTAGATCTTTCCACAGAGTTGGCAAAAAACCAGACATAAGATTCTCTGAAATACTAGCAAACTCGGCTTTATGGCATGATTTACCGTCGAGACAAAGCAGTGGTTGCTGTCTTGCTCTGCATAAAGGACCCCATCTTTAATGAAAACGGAAATGGCACGCAGAATGAAGGAGACGAAAAGATTCATGTGAATAAAATTCCGGGTGCAGTGCAGTTTCCTAAGAGGAAAGAAAAAGAAAAAAGGATTTTAAGAAACGGGGAAGAAAGATCGTTTCACTTTTGCAAAGCATTGGATTGGATTGGATTGGATTGGATTTATTAAATTTATAGGCCACCCAATCCCGAAGGACTCGGTACTGTCTTCCTATATCTATGGGTGGACCACAGCTGATCCCAAAATTCCTGTCGCTAAGCAAGGCCCTGGTTGTGAACCTGGCCCCCATTTACGACCTTCCTTGCCGCAGTTGTTAAGTGAATCAATGCAGTTGTTAAGTTAGTAGCATGGTTGTTAGGTGAATCTTGATTTTGCTTGTCAGAAGGTCGCAAAAGTGTGTGGGGGGGTGTTCACATGGCCCCAGGACATTGCAACTGTCATAACTTTGAGTCAATTGCCAAACATTTGAATTTTGGTCACATACGGATGCTGCAGTGGTCGTAAGTGTGAAAAACGGCCATAAATCACTTTTTTTTCAGTGCCATTGTAACTGTGCGTGGTCATGAAGGGTTGTAAGTTGAGGACTATCTGTACTTCATTGGCCTAAGTCCTGTCAGACCCTCTTTTAAACATAGATTTGTCCCTGATCATTTATTTATGACAATCATATATGTCAAACATGTGAACATATCAAACACACCATCTTCCTCCTGTTTTCCCTACAACAACGTGAAGTGTGTTGGGCTCAGAGACTGGCCCAGAATCAAGCAGCTGGATTTCATGCCTAAGTGGGACTAGAACTCCCCGGCTCCTGGTGATTGTCCCAAAGTCACCCATTCATTTTAATTCCTAGGGCAAGACTAGAATTCACCAGCTCCTGGTGATTGGGCCCCAAGTACCCCAGCTGGACTTCATACATAAGGTGGAACTAGAACTCACTGTCTCTTGGTGAATGGCCCAAAGTTACCCAGTTGGCTTTCCTGTCTAAAACAAAACTAGAACTCACTGTCTTCTGGTGATTGGCTGAAAGTTACCCAGCCGACTTTCATGTGTAAAGCAAAACTAGAACTCACTATTTCCTTCCTAGGGCAAAACTAGAATTCACTGACTCCTGGTGATTGGGCCCCAAGTATCCCAGCTGGACTTCATACATAAGGTGGAACTAGAACTCACTGTCTCTTGGTGAATGGCCCAAAGTTACCCAGCTGGCTTTCCTGTCTAAAACAAAACTAGAACTCACTATTTCCTGGTGATTGGCTGAAAGTTACCCAGCCGACTTTCATGTGTAAAGCAAAACTAGAACTCACTATTTCCTGGTGATTGACCCAAAGTCACACAGGTGTCTTTCATGGCTAAGGGAAAACTAGAACTCACCATCTCCTGATGATAGACCCCAATACCTCAGCTAGTTTTCATATCTAAGGTGGAACTAGAATTCCCTGTCTTCTGATGATTGGCCCAAAGTCACCCAGCTGGCTTTCACTGCTAAGGCAGCACTAGAACTCACCATCTCCTGGTTTTTTTAGCCTGGTGCCTTAACCACTGGACCAAACTAGAGAACCCAATCCAGTCAAAACAACTTTGTGACCAACTCACCTGAAACGGCACAAAATCACCATGGCGGTGGTGAGCGAAACGAGGGATGTGCTGTAGCCAACTGTATACAAAGCCTTAACAGAGAGGTAGTAGTAAGCCTGTGATTAAAACAACAAAGTTAGAGTTACTTTGGGGAAAGAGTAAAAGTTCAAATCGCTTGGTTTCTTCTGCTTTCTTTGCGCAAGAGTCCAAATCCACTCCTTTCACGTGTATAACAGGTAGTCCTCAACTTACGACCATTCATTCAGCAGCCCAGGGCTATCCTGACCCCAGGAGCCGACCCATGTTCTGCACAAGACTGCAACGGGGAGAACCTGGATTGCATGGCTGCCTTGGTGGCAGCCAAGGTGGCGCAGTGGTTAAATGCAGCACTGCAGGCTACTGCTAGATCAGCAGGTCAGCGGTTCAAATCTCACCGGCTCAGGGTTGACTCAGCCTTCCATCCTTCCGAGGTGGGTAAAATGAGGACCCAGATTGTTGGGGGCAATATGCTGACTCTCTGTAAACCGCTTAGAGAGGCCTGAAAGGCCTATGAAGCGGTATATAAGTCTACTGCTATTGCTATTGCTATTGCTATTGCTATTGCTTAATGAAAGCAATAACTTAAGGACTCTAATTCTGGACTCAATATGTGGCCGTAGATCGAGGACTATCTGTAGGTCTGATCTACAATCCCAAACGGAGCAGCTTTTACAAACCACTCCATTATGATGAAAGATTCCAGTCAAAGGACATAGGCAGTTCTCGACGTACGACCGCAATTGAGGTCAACGTTGCTAAGCGAGACAGTTGTTAAGTGAGTTTTTCTCCATCTTACCACCTTTCTTGCCACAGTTAGGAAGTCCGTGCAGTGGTTAAGTTAGTCACAGGATTGGGAAGTGTGAATCCAGCCTCTCCATTGACTTTGCTTGTCAGAAGGTCACAAAAGAGTATCACGTGACACACACACACACACACACACACACCGGGACACTATACATGAGCAACAGTTCATTTAGTGACCAACTGAAGATACAAAGGCAATGAAAAAAGCGACATAATTGTTTTTCACATTCAGGACTGTTGCGGCATCCCTATGGTCACGTGATTTAAATTCGCTTGCCAACACACCTCAGGTTGTTGCGGGAGTTGCTGCTTGTTCGCTTTGCATGCACTTTGCATGCGCATTGCATGCATGCACGGTCGCCTGCAAATTGTTCTGTGCATGCTCAGAACATGGAAAAAAAAAAAAAGGAGGGACCAGGGAATCAATTTGGGGGCATGGCCAGCCTGTCGTCCTTACCGGTTCAGCGACCCAGTCCCAATTTCCACTACCGGTTCGCCCGTAACCGGTGCAAACCGGTAGCAACCCACCTCTGCAACCGACCCGTATTTATGACGGTTGCAGTGTCCTGGGGTTATATGATCACCTTTTGTGACCTTCTAACTAGCAGGGGAAAAAAACCAGATTCACTTAACAACTGTGTGTCTAATTTGACAGCTGCGGTGATTCGCATAACAACTACAGCAGGATAGGTTGTAAAATGTGGTCAAACTCACTTAGCAAATGTTTCGCTTAACAAAAGAACTTTTGGGCTCAGTTGTGATCGTAAATCAAGGACTACTTGTAGTTTAGACATAAATAGATATTAATTTGGATTTCCAGCTTGGATCGTGTTTGGACAGAGGGAAATCAACTGAAGAATTTGCTGTGATTTATGGGTGGCACTCATGCCTCCAAAACAGACCAGTCCTACCAATTCAGACCAGTTCAGCCGAACTGGTAGTGGTTTGGCGGCCTGTGTCGCTGAAACAGGCAGCGACCCGGGCTTGGCACGCCTGGTTGGAACCCGGTTGGCGCCATCGTTGGCGCCATCTTGTTTTTCAGTTCTGCGCATGCGCAGAACAATTTTAATTGCACTGTGCATGCGTGCATGAAGTGCGCACACAAGCGCATCGGCAGTAGTGCTAGCTGAGCCCACCCGTGAAACAAAAACATTTCCATTGCTAGCTCACCTGGCCATTCCATGGCGTGGTGTCATTGTCGTCAAATCCGCAGGCATCGTAATAATGTGGGAATGGTTCGGACCAGCCTTCCTGGGTACAGTTCCTACTGATCAACTTAAAATCTATGGCTCCATCTGTTGGTTTTTTTGGGGGTGGGGGTGGGGAATATTAAATAAAACACTTTTTTAAAAGTTAGTAAAGTAGACATTAAGCTTTTTAGAACAGAGATCTCCAAGCTTGGCGACTTTAAGACTGGTGGACTTCAACTCCCAGAATTCCCTGTCTGGCTAGGGAATTCTGGGAGTTGAAGTCCACCAGTCTTAAAGATTTCAAGGAAAAAAAAGCCTTTTGTTCATTATGAAGTTTTTTTTATTTTTACCATTTTCATAACATCTATGCTATTACATAGCCAACATCATATTGTATTATTAAATGTTTATGTCAATTCATCTTACCATCAACTCCCAAAAACAATTATTGGCTCTTCTACTCTCCGTACACCATATTTGATGGATAAGGAGGTAGGGAGGGGGAGGAGAGAGGGAGAAGAAAGAGATGGATAAGGTACAAATATGGTGTATGGAAAAAAAGCCTTTTGTTGTTGTTGCTTTGATCGGCTCTCATGGCCTACATTGCAAGGTCGTTTGCAAAATCCCCTAGAGGGGTTTGACTTCAGTGGGATCGCTTGGTCAATGCAAGGAGGGCTGGGGGGGGGGAAATATGATTCAAAGAACTCAGAATTGCAGGTCACACGATCAAAATTTGGGCAACCGAAAGGTACTCTCGCAGTTGCAACATCCCAAGTGATATGATTGCTATTGCCGCTCACCAGTGGACTTTGGACAAGCAAATTCAGTAGGGGAAGCAGGATTTGCTTAGCGATCACTGCTAAAAGTCATAAAAGTGGATGCGACTCACTTAACAACCACATCACTTAGCAAAAGATGTTCTAGTCTGAATTGTAGCCATATGATAAGAAGGACTATGCAAAACATGCCAAGTAATAGTTTGAGAAGCAAATAGTTTGGTCTAGTTTGGTCTAATGATTAAAGTACCAGGCTAAAAACCAGGAGATGGTGAGTTCTAGTCCCGCTTTAGGCATGGAAACTGGCTGGGTGACTTTAGGCCATCCACCAAGAGATGGTGAGTTCTAGTCCTGCCTTAGGCATAAAATCCAGTTGGGTGACTTTGGGCCAATCACCAGGAGACAGTGAGTTCTAGTCTCATGTTACGCATGAAAGCCAGCTGGGTGACTTTGGGCCAATCACCAGGAGACGGTGAGTTCTAGTTCCGCCTTAGGCATAAAATCCAGTTGGGTGACTTTGGGCCAATAACCAGGAGATGGTGAGTTCTAATCCTACTTTAGGCAAGAAAGCCAGCTGGGTGATTTTGGGCCAATCACCAGGAGACGGTGAGTTCTAGTCCCGCCTTAGGCATAAAATCCAGTTGGGTGATTTTGGGCCAATCACCAGGAGACGGTGAGTTCTAGTCCCACTTTAGGCAAGAAAGCCAGCTGGGTGACTTTGGGCCAATCACCAGGAGAGGGTGAGTTCTAGTCCTGCCTTAGGCAAGAAAGCCAGCTGGGTGACTTTGAGCCAATCACCAGGAGACGGTGAGTTCTAGTCCCCTCTTAGGCATGAAAGTGTTGGGTGACTTTGGACCACCAAAAGACAGTGAGTTTTAGTCCCAACTTAGATACAAAAGCTTCTGGGTGCCTTTTTTGGGGCCAATAACCAGGAGATGGTGAGTTCTAGTCCCCACTTTAGCCATGAAAGCCAGCTGGGTGACTTTGGGCCAATCACCAGGTGACGGTGAATTCTAGTCCTGCCTCAGGCATGAAGAATTTCTATCTGAATTTTAGATATTACTTTCCTATTCATTTCTAACGTTGAGGGTCTCTTTCTCAAGTGGTTACTTTGTGCTAGTCCTTCTCTCTTAGCCCAATCCAACTCACAGGATTGTTGTTGCAGAGAAAATAGGGGGAGAAAGACATATTAGGCACCTTTACTCCTTTGAGCGCCTTACGAAGTGATGCAGGCAGGATTAAAGAATCTAATCAATAAAATGAAACGCAGTATATAACATTGGGCACGGCTCACTTAACAACCACGTCACTTAGCATAGGAAGCTGTCCTCTCAATTTTGATCATAAGTCGGGGACTACTCATATCATGGAGAGTAACCATTTGGGAAGCAGACTCTCAACACTAGAAACGGTCAGGAAAGCAATAGCTGAAAATAGAAATCCTTCTTGTTTTCACCTCGGCTAAATCCATTTCTTACCTGGAAATTGTTCCGAAATCTCAAATGGTTCAAGCTCTCCTACAAAAAAAAGAGAGAAGAAGAGGTTGAAATCCACTTTAGAGCAGGCAGAGATAGTCCCCGATTTATAACGGTTCATTTCGTGACACAAAGTCACAACAACACTGGGGGGATGGGGAAATAGCTTATGACCATTTTCCACACTTAACAACCATTGCAGCCTAATTTGGCGATCAAAATTAATTGGGAATGTGATTAGGAAAATATTAGAATGTGCAGAAATGAATAGATTAACACTTGCTATAAAAGAGAAAGAACAAACTGAATATTCTATGACACGGGGGTTATTTTATGGATGGTTGCAGAAATGAGAAATAAATAAGAGATTATTAAAATAAAGAATATATGTTAAGATAAACAATATGATGATGATTACATATAATTGTTAAGCTGACCATACTCAATATAATATTATATTTTCATTAGAGTATATGTTAAGAGGGAGAAATGAATAGAGTTATAATGCTGATTATTAATAATGTAAGATTAGAGAATTATCATCAGTGTAATGAACATTTTAAACTTTGATTGTAATTGCACAGACATATTTGTACCCAGATGACACACTGTTTAATGGAAGAGGATATGGTCAAGTTAAAAAAATAAAATAAAAATAAATTAAAAATAGTTAAGATGCTTGGCCAGTGATTTGCATTTATGACGCTTTTAATACTTTTTACGACCTTCTGATGAGCAAAATCAATGAGGAAGCCAGATTCACTTAACAACAGTGTTGCTGACTTAACAACCACAGAGATTTGCTTAACAACTGTGGCTAGAAAGGTTGTGCCATGGGGAAAAATTCACTAAACAAAATGGCTTGTTTAGCAACGGAAATTTTGGGCTCACTTGTGGTCGTAAGGTGAGGACTGTCTATATGCCCCTTTCTCAACCTGTATAAATGGAGAGTAGACATTATGTCTTACCTGGCTGCGCATACGCCATGCTGTTCACATCCCAACCTAATCAACACAAAAAAAGAAAAAGAGGTTTAAAAAACGTATATATTCTTTCATTATTACATCATCCCTTTTCAATTTCTTCCCTTGTATGCAATTTTTGTACTTATTATATCTTCCTAAATTCCCCCTTTCTACAGTATTCAGGATCTTAGTTGCGTACAAGCAGAGGTATATGCATTTAGAATGGAACAGAACGGAACAGAAAACAGAACAGAACAGAACAGAAAACAGAACAGAACAGAATAGAACTGGAAGGGACCTTGGAGGACTTCTATTACAATCCTCTGCTTAGGCAGGAAACCTTAAACCATTTCAGACAAATGGTTGTCCAATCTCCTCTTAAAATCTTCCAGTTATCATTATCATCTTTTAATGACCCCATAATCCTTTGAGGGGTGGAGTCTGGGCAACTGAATGGAGCTAGCAGGAGTGTTTACTGGCCGGATGCCTTCCTGTTGCCAATGCGGAGTTTTGTTCGGCAGATATATTCTCATTGTGCCCAGAGAGAGAGAGAGAGAAATATCTGCTTCTACTTAGGATTGAACTCACAGCCTTCTGATTGTGGGGCAAGAGCTCCACCTCCAGGCCACTGCACTACTCCACCTTCTTAAAACCTTCCAGTGCTGGAAGTTTAATTTAATTAATTAATTAATTAAATTAAATTAATTATAATAGAGCTGGAAGGGGACCTTGATGGGTTTCTGTCTTTTACAAATGTATACAAATAATCCTCGACTTACAACCATTCGTTCAGCAAACATTTGAAATTACAACAGGACTAAAAAAAAAAGTGACTTACGGCCCATCCTCATACTTATGACCATCTCAGCTTCCTTGCTGTCACAAGATCAACATTGGGATGCTTGGCACCTGGGATGCATTTATGACGTGATCGCCCTCTGCAATCTTCCCAGCTGGCTTCTTGCAGGCAAAGTCAGTGGGGGGAGCTGGATTCGCTTAACGACCATGCGAATCACTTAACAACCATGGTGATTCACTTAGCAATTGGGCAAAAAAGGCCGTGAAATCAGGCACGAACCACTTACCACTGCCTCGCTTAGCCACAGAAGTCTTGGTACCAATTATGGTCATAAGTAGAGGACTACCATTTTTTTTTTCTGGTGGGACAGAGTGGATCAATCAATCAATCATAATTAAATGCATAAATAAAATAAATAAATAAGGAAAACCCACAGGTTTAAAAGAAAGAAGCATACACATATAACGGCTGAGGGCTGGTCATAACCATCATTTGTCCAATACCATTGTAACTTTCAATGGTCAATGAATGAATGGTCATATGTCGAGGACTACCTGGATCTGAGCTCATTTGGTCACCTGTAGCACTGGCTATTTATTTTTCATTTTCTCTGTCCTCCCCTTTTGACTCTGCAGCCCATATCAGAATTATTCAAGGCCTAAATTCCAGTTCTATTCTAATTACAAGTAGTCTTACGACTTACGACCACAATTGAGCCGCAAATTTTTGTTGCTAAACGAGACAGTTATTAAATGAATCTTGCCCCATTTTACAACCTTCCTTGTTACGGTTGTTAAGTGAATTTCTATATTTGTTAGGCTGTTGTTAAGCAAATCTGGCTTCCCCACTAACTTACTTGTCAGAAGGTCGCGAAAGGAGATCACGTGACTCCCCCACCCACCCCAGGACACTGTGACCGTCATAAATATGAGTCAGTTACTATGTGTCTTAATTTTGTTCACATGGCTATCGGGAGGCTTCAACAGTCATTTGAACAATGGTCATAAATCACTTTTTTCAATGCCATTGTAAGTTTTGGTGCCTGCCAGCAGCCAGCAGAGCTGGCAGGAGATTCTGACAGTGAGGAGGCTGGGGAGGAAGATGGGCCAGTCCTGGAGTCTGGGGAAGGCTCAGATGAGGGCTCTGCGTCAGAGGCAGAGAGGGGGCCAGGGCCCTATGCCAGTTATCAGCTGCCTTCGGAGTCAGACATCAGTGGGGCAGATGAACAGCTGGAGCCTGTTCCCAGTGTGTGCATGCTCAGAGCTGCCAGACGAAAGGAAGAGCTAACGAACAGGGGCCGACTTGGGAGTAAGTCCACAGGTGGACAGTGAATGGCCCCTCCCAGAGGGAATAAAAGAGGAGCAAAAGGGGAGGGGAGTTTGCAGGAGACAATTAGTTCGTTTAATTGGTTTGTGACTCTCCAAGACTCTTTCCCAAGTTCTGCAGATATCAGCCTGGCAGCTCTCCAAGCCAGAAAACTTAGGTTAAGGAAGAAGGGTCGACTTGGGAGTAAGGCCAGAGGTGGACGGTGAATAAGAGGAGCGACAGGGGAATGGAGTTTGCAGGAGACAATTAGTTCATCCCTGCTTTCTTGCCAAGTATTGCGGCGCCTGAAAGATATCGGCCTGGCAGCTCTCCAGGCCGGATAAAGGCCGGTAATTGTGACCTATCTTGAAAGTCAGTGGGAGAGGAAAGACTTTTCCTGGAGAGGAATTCACTGTAAATTAAATAAAAAGGGGTTTATCGGGAGGCGGACTCGGCTTCTTGCCAAGCCTAGGTCAGAACAATAACTCTGAATGGTCACTAAATGAACTGTTGTAAGTGAAGGACTACTTGTAGCGCTTATTGGCCACTTATTCTTGCCTCCTACGGAAATTGCTTTCTTGGCAACCCCCTTATTTGACCTTATTCGGGAGTGTTAAAACAGATCCAGAGAATCACAATGAGCACGACTGAAAGGCTGCAATTTAAATCCTCCAAAAAGAGATTGAAGGAGCTGTGCCTATTCAGCCTTGGAGAGAGAAGTTGGAAGAGGATGATGAGGCACAAATATGAGGCATAATACAGGCACAAAGTTCAACATCTGATTCCAGATGTAACCCAAGCCACGCATTGAGGGTTGTCTATACAGAATACCGGATGGGGTGAGATGGATGAAGTGGAATGGAATAGGAATAGGAAGGGAATGGAAGGGAATAAAATAGAATAGAATGAAGAATGGAATATGATAAAATAGAATATAGAAATAAGAATGGAATAAATATAATATAATAATAAAAATACAATACAATACAATAATAATCTAATGCAGTGTTTCTCAACCTTGGCAACTTGAAGATGTCCGGATTTCAACTCCCAGAATTCCCCAGCCAGCATTCGCTGGCTGGGGAATTCTGGGAGTTGAAGTCCGGACATCTTCAAGTTGCCAAGGTTGAGAAACACTGATCTAATGGAATGGAATGGAATGGAAAGGAACAGAATAGAATATACTGACCAGAGAACAGAACAGAATATGGAAATAAGAATAGAACAGAACAAAGTAGAATAGAATAAGGAAAAATAGAATAAAACAGAACAGAATACGGTTGGAGATCTTCTACTCTAACCCATTTTCACATACTGCCTATGCTCACTTCAGAGGGGTCCATTAAAGAAGAAGAAAATATTTTGTCTCTTTGGGCTATGTTACAGGGCACCATAAATGAATATACAGAAATTCTCAGTTTAGCAATTATGAACAGCCATAAATGACTTGTAGTGCATCCTTTTGCCACTAGGTGGCCGTCTAGATTCTTCTCAAATGTTGAGCATCTCTGCAGAACAAATGTATCCAAATATAACTGAGATTTATTTGAACTTCTATAGTCCCCCCAAAATACTCAGATTCCCAAATTCCACTATTTCTTCTTGGAGATAGAAGTTCAGTTTCTTCTCCAATCCCTGGTTAATTTGTATAGCCAAGCTTTTGGAGAAGAAATACTCTGGAAGCTTATAAATAAACTCACCAATGGATCCATTCTTGGAAAGGAGACCTATAAAACCTTGAAAAGTTTTGCAAAGTTCCTACAAAAGATGTTTCTCCTTGCCTGACATTGCAAAAGAGCTCTCAGCTCTGCAACACTCCAGAAAGTTTGCAAAGTCCTTCTCCAGCACTGGAACAGTAGAATGCCCAGGTAGTCCTCGACCTATAGCCATTCACTTAGTGACCGTTTAAAGTGATAATAATCCTGCTGCATCTCAATTTGAACCTTCTTTTTATGTATCTCTCTCTCTCTCTGCAACATACAGATATTCCTCAATTTGCTACACTTGTTTAGTTACTGTTCAGAACACTGAAAAAGTGACTTATGACCAGTTTTTCAAGCATACAACTGTTGCAGGATTCCTCAAGGTCATGTGATCAAATTTCAGACACTTGGCAATCATATTTATGGCGGTTGCAGTGTCCTGGGGGTCACGTGATCCTCCTTTAAAGCGTACTTGACAGTTCCACTATCATCCCAGTGCCGAAGAAGCCCTCCATCAAGGAACTGAATGACTACAGTCCAGTTCAGTGGTGGGTTTCAAAAATTGTTGGAACCTACTCTGTGGGTGTGGCCTCCTGTGTGGGAGTGGCTTGCCACCCATGTGACTGAATGGGAGTGGCTTGCCACCCATGTGACCGGATATGAAATTATGAATTAGTACTTAGGTCGGTCCAAGTAGCTATTCAGAAACTCTGGCATTGAAGC